CACACACACACACACACACACACACACACACACACACACACACACACACGTGTAAAGGCATGATGCTCCAGCTGTTTCTGGGTTTCAAAGGCCTCCATGTTTCTGATTAGAAGCTGTTCTGTTTCATAAACAGCTGAATGTTGCCGTTTGAGACTTTTGACTTTGTGGGAAAAGTTTTTGCTTTTTGTTGCCAAGTTTTTTTTATTTTCAAATGACTGGTGTCTGTAGGAAACTTGGTAAGAAAACTCCTGAGTTTGCAGAGGGAGATTGAAAGATTTTCTGTTCAGTGAGTCAAATGTCTAAAAGTGATTCTTGTGTAAGTCCTATAAATGTTGTGCAATAAGTCTAATCTTAGATTCAGATCTTTTTAAAGATGTCTGATTATCAGCCAGTTCTTTAAGAACTACACATGTGCAAGTTTCAGAACGAGATGTTGATGAAAATAGCCACAGAACAAACATCTGCCTCTTACTGTTTTTGGGAACAAAATGATGAAATCTTAAAGCAATGATTTTATTTCAGAGGTTCTGTGGAAGTGTGGTGAACAATTAACATCTTACCTGCTGCAGATGGATCTCTGAATGACCTTAGTTTATATAAATTATTCTTCCCTGACTGGATTGACAAAGATTAGCTACAAAAATGTCTAAATTTCATCACATTCAAAGGAATCATAACTCCATCAGTTATCCATTAACAATATTTACAATCAAATGGTGTTAGCAGCCACTAACCATGTTTAGGTTATTTTATATGAACCTAGATTATAGTTTTCACATGAACAACTAACTCAGCATCTATAACTATTGTTTAAAGACACCAGAATGAGTTGCATTTATTGTTTCCTTTTGGGATTAAAGTATCTTTTAATTGAACTAAAACATTTAAGCTTGAACTTGGTCTGAGCTGTGGATCCATTTTGTTTGAGTCACTCAGATATCAGTCCAAGCTAAACTGAACCACCTCCGTTTGGAGAAACAAACTTATGTATAACAGGTAAGATGCTGTTTCCACAGAACTCCCCTTTTAAAAGATTCAGGCCCTTTAGTCTGTGTCTGTCAGATGAAACCAAGCAAACAGTTCATTCTTTGATTTTATACAGAGTTCAGTGATGTTAAAGGTAATGCAGGTCAGACACTTTTTATTTTTGGTACTGAAGTGACAAAATGTCAGTTTGCTGTGTTTAAAAAAACATTTTGATGTTTTTGGCTTTTAAAATATGTGACCCATCAACCTGAGACATAGTCACTTTTAGTCAAAATGACCAAAGCACATTTTGAGGTTCTTGCTTTTTAATCTACATTTTGATGGCTGGATCATCCTGACAGCACAAGTAGTTTCATAGATGTGCATTGATTTTGTCTTCCTAATCGTAACCATTAATATTTAGTGTGAACCCCTTTTTTTAAGGTTATTCTAACGAGATTTTTTTTGTCTTTGTAAAGAAGAAACCTCAAACTGTATTTAGATATTAAGATTTAGCAGCTTGGGAAAAAAAGCTTTGCTAGCTCGCAGCAAAAATAACAAATTTAAGGCTTTTTTGGTTGTTGTTGCTCAAAAAAGTGCTTCAAGAGATTCTTTAAGATTTTATTCCGGTCCATTCCAATGATCCATTGTTTAGGTATTTTACTTTATTTTGACAAAATGTAATTACTGCAAATGTTTGAATGGACTCACTCGAGCTGTGGAAACACTTTGACCTAACCCCTGGGTTTGATGGGATGAGTTCTGGTTTGTCTTGAAGCTGAAAACCTTTCTTGCTGCCGTTTGGTCTCCAGGTGAGTCTGAGGAGTTCATCATGAAGCTGATCAACCGTCCGATCATCGTGCTGCGAGGCGAGCACGGCTTCATCGGCTGCAGGAAGGTGACCGGGACGCTGGACTCCAACCGCTCCTCCTACGACTTCTTCACCCTGGAGTTCAGAGACGGAGCGTACAACCTGCAGGGTCCGTGTGGCTGACGGGACATTCGTCCGCTCTGCTCTCATTTTGTCCCGGCTTTTCACTCATTTTTCACCCCAAATTCTCCTGCGCCTTTCTCAGATTCGACTGGGAAGTACTGGATGGTGGGGAACGAGCAGTCGGTGGTGAGCAGCAGCGACGCTCCCGTCGACTTCTTCTTRGAGTTCTGCGACTACAACAAGCTGGCCATCCGCCACGCCGCCGATGGCAAGTACCTCCGCGGGGACCACGCCGGCGTGCTGAAGGCCAACGCCGATGACCTGGAGACCGCCACGCTGTGGGAGTACTGAGGGGGCAACACCACGGCACCCCCTCCTCACCCTCCTCCTCCTCACCCTTATATTAAACCCAYTTCTTTTTGACTGTATGTTAAACTGCACAGAGAGATCAGTGAGGATGGATGGAAGGAGACTTCCTCTCTCCTCTTTTCCTTTTTTTGTATCCTTCATCCCTCCGTCTCACAGCTCTGCCTCCTTTATCTGTTGCCATAGTTACACACGAGGGGGGGTTGCTGTGCACTTTTTCTGCTTCGATCCGGTTCTAGAGCGGTGCCACGTTTAGAGCCCCCCCTCAGAGTTGACCTGGTGTTCTCTTCCTGTTTGTGTGAGACGTAAATCCGATCCCACCCCRCTGTAAAAGCAGACGCCCTCCTGGCTGCTGTCTTCTTCGTTGGTATCAGTAGATTTGGGGGTGTTTTGACGGGGTGGGGTCAGTTTATCAGGTCAGATAAGTATTTGTTGATAAGAGCAGGCCTTGTAGCCCGTGATGACTGTAATATTAGAGTGGATCTGATGCAGATGAAGGCTMTTTTTGTTTTGTTTGCATCTATAAGTATTCAGTAAGTCAGTTTCCTGTGCTGCTCTCTAGCTGTGTTCTCATTGGTTGGCGTTGAAACCAGGATGTAGGAAGTTTTAAACCTTTTCGGTCTCTGCGAGCTCTAGCTAGTGTCGGGGAAACTATGTGGGGTGGGGGGAAAGAAAAACTTGCACAGATGGATTATTTCTTCTTCTACGTCCAAGGCACAGACATTATCATAGCAACAGTAGAGAAATGATTTAGAGATTTAGTAGAAAGCTGCTTTTTTTTTAACTATTCCCTCGACCAAAACAAGCACCTCAGCCTTTACACAAACCAAACTTTTGATAGTTAAACTAATATCTGGTGCTACGACACTCATTAACCCCCTCAACAACAACAAAACCTGCTTCCTGAGTCCTAACATTTCCATTGATGTAAACCCACATTTATTTCTTGGTTAGACTTTTTTTTGTTTTGACATTAAAGATGTTAAAAGGGATGTATTGGGATAAAAACTGGAGGTTTTCATGAAATGAATTCAGTAACTCAAGTCATGTAGCACACCCTTCATCAGGAAATCTCAACATTTGCGTCTAAACGACCAGTCGCTGTGTTCCTGTGACGATTGTACCCAGTTCTGTTTCCTCTGTTTAGAGTCATGTGAAGGTTTAGTTTTGCTTAAAAAGATGGTTCTCCTGAAACATCTGGAGCATCAGTCCTACAGATGCAGAGGGTAAACGTGGTAATGACTGTGCCTTACTGGGTTATTTTTTGTTTTTTGACGGTAGGAAAATGTAAAAAAAGTCCACAGGTTTTGCTTTGTAAAACTGGAAATTTCTTTTGTATTTTGTACAATTATTTTTTTTTGGATATTGTGGAGTAATCTCTCTTGTGCCATTGGTTCACCCAAAATCCAGCAACCAATAAAACTGAGATTTGAATGCAGAATYACGTGCTTTCCCTTTATTTTCTTGGCATTTCGTTTTCTAGAACCTGCTAAATCGATCTTTAAAGTAGTGGTTCAGTGGAAATGTTAAACAGGTAATATCTTACCTGTTGTAGATGGCTCTTTTTGGACAACTTTTTTTTTTTTGTACATTCTAAAAATGAAATGTTGGATTTACCATGTTATGTCAACTTGTTCCACTTAATTGAGTTCAGTAAATTCAAAGCAACTCATGTTTGGTTAAACTGGTATACTGCTTTGAATTTACTCAACTTAGTTAAGTGGAACCAGTTGACATAACATGGTTAAATCCAACATTTCATTTTTTTAAAATACTTCAAGCCAGTGGTGTCCAGTACTGGTCTTWGAGGGCCACCATRCTGCATGTTTTACTTATTTCTCTGCTTCAACACCTGATTCAGTGACTGAATGACCTTGTCAAGTTCTGCACAAGCCTTTTAATCACTCTCATCCAAATCAGGTGTGTTTTAACAAAGGAGCCTCAACAACATGCAGATGATGGCCCTGGAGGAGCAGGATCAGATTTTTAATGAGAATTCAAATTAAAACATGGGCTCAAAGCACCACTCAGATGTAATATACATCATCACATCATCTGCAAAAAGATGTGCTTTGTTTTGCTTATATGGTAACATGTTAATCTGACTAAAGCCAGTCAAAGTGAGGTGATTGAAACAGAGGATTCTGAATACAGAAGACAAAACGACTGCCATGGAGCATTACACTACAGTGGATGTTGGAGACYTCTTTTTTTGGTTTTGTTCATCTGTTAAAAATAATCCACAAACTATCACCACTGCTTTTTCTTCGTCGGCCATGTTTATTTAATCTGAACTCATGTTTGATCTTGAGAGATTTTGCGAGATGTCCTGCCTTTCATCTGAATGTTGGTGAGTGGTCTTTGCCTTGTGGCTGTATTCAGCTGAACCAAACCTGTATATCTGATTTTTTTATTCTTATGTGTGAGGTCTCAGTCTTTGAAAATCGTGTGACCCAGGCTTTACAAAATATAAAACTTGTATTTACTTTAGACATTATAAAATACATATATATTTTTACAATTGTCATTTTTCTAATTTAGCTTCAAAAAACTATTTTTTCTTGTTTTATTTTGTAAAACCCAAGAACAAACCTTATTCTTATTCTCTTCTTATTTCCCAACTTTTGTTGTTTGATGACAAAGACCTGGCTGACGTGGACCAGAGGCCATTTAGGATCCTTTTGGCAGTTTTTTAAACCTGTACAAGATGCTACAGCTAGCTGTTGGACTGCCGGCGCAGTTTGGGYCGCTTCCTGGAGAACTGTACTATTCCAGCCAGAATTACCATATAAAGGCTTGGCTCAGACTACTGAGTCTGGTCAAAAATAAACCATTTCTACAAAACTACGGTTGTTCAAAGAGCTATCTACAACAGGTAAGATATTAGTTGTTCATAACTTTTCCATTTATTATCAAAATAAAAAATGTAATTATCTGGACTGACTGTTTTTATTACATTTTAAATAGCTAAAATTATTTTAGCAGTATTTGTTTGCCTTTCAAGCTTTTTTTTCTTCTCTACATAGAACAAAATGTGATTAAAAGATGTTTTAGCCCAAGAGGTTTTTGATAAAATCAGTCTGGTTCCTCCAGCCTGGAGCGCAGACAGCTGAGCTTTGTGCACCTGCTTACAGTTGCTAAGCAAAGATTGCCTGCTTTAGTCGACTCAAAAGGTTGTTTTACTTTGACATTTTACTCCCAAACTTCAAACCTGATTCTTTTATTCTAATTTCATTTTTATTCTCAGACCAGCGTGGCGCTAGCAGCTGAGTAAATCATGGCCTGTTCTTGCATTTCTCACATAATCACAGCTTCGTATCTGGCATCCGTCCAGTTTCAGACCACAGCAGCTCTGTACGATGACACACACACACACACACACACACACACACACACACACACACACACACACACACACATATTTTCCTGTCTCCTGAATGGAGCCTTTGTGCTGAAACATTTATTCCAGCTCAGAAAGGCCCGCCCCCACAGATCCACATGTTCAGGGTGGTAATGATGGAGCCTCAGAGCACTGCTCTAATCTGCTTCCTCCGTCAGGTTCTCAGATCCCAGAGGAATACAGCCAACATGGCAGAACAAACTCACACACACACACACACCCTCCCGTTAACCCTCGCCTCCTGTCAGTCCTCCCCTCTGCTCAAAAGATGACTCGCTGAAAATGTGACCCAGATCTGAGCTGGTGGGTGCAGTGGCTTGTGGGTAAAGCTCCGTCAGAGAGGGAGGCTGGATGTGGAATGGCTGCCGCCTCCTCCCAACCAGCCTCTGTGTTACCATGGAAACAGCAGCTGCCAGAAAGGGTGAGAGGAGTCGAAGACCTTTCATTTCATTCAAAAACACCATGGGGAGGAMGGGCTGCGCAGAGATTAAACGATCAGGACGTAGCACCGAGGTGGGGGAGGTGGAAGAAAACACACCCCTCATCTGTCTCCATCAGCCCTGGTCTCTAATCAAATCTGCCTCTGGTCCTGGTGGGTCCAGGCAGTCGGGCTGTGGGTCAGCYGGTCAGAGGGGTAATCTCTTCAAAGGGAGGGGGAAGATGAATCGTAGGGCGGCGACTCGTTAATTCAGATCAAAGACTGGTGGGACACGTGCCGCACGCTTCAGTCTACGTTAGTGGGCATAAAAACCAACTGTGTTCACGTCTTAGACCTTTAAATTACTGCCATCACACACACACACACACACACACACCAGAGTGAATATAGTTAGAATAGTAGAACTGCAGGCAAATAGTTTTCCACTTGGAATCAGTCTGAAAGACACATTTGCATGAACTGACAAGATCTGGACCAAAATTAGCTGGAAGTTTGCATAAATAATGATAAAAAATAACGAAACAAATAGAGGTTTAACAGTTTTAGGTTTGCACACAATGCTTAAGACTCTGGGACCATTTTCAGATTGGTTTGACTCAAAAATTTTAAGGAAAAAKGACAAAAAACAAGATCAGACGACCCACATGAGGACTCTGAGAACCAGGACACTCCGGACAGTCTATCATGGGGACACATGGCCCACACGTCTCACTAAACCTGGGCTACTGTAAAGAATGACGGCCATTTGGCAGCCCAGATGTGGTTTAACAGAGGTGGTCCATGCATGGGCCAGCACCACATAAACCAAACCAAAACAGGACCAGTTGTGGTATAGACAGATTTGGGCCACATAAACCAAACTACAACTGGGCCAGTCGTGCCATAGACAGATTTGGGCCACATAAACCAAATTACAACTGGGCCAGTTGTGGCATTGACAGATTTGGGCCACAAAAACCAAACCAAAACCGGACCAGTTGTGGTATAGACAGATTTGGGCCACACAAACCAAACTACAACTGGGCCAGTTGTGGCATAGACAGATTTGGGCCACATAAACCAAACCAGAACTGGACCAGCTGCCACACCAGCAGTGCCAGCTTGACACCATATCTGGCCCACACCTGTCTGCTATGTGGGAAGATGAAGAATCATTCACACACTCACATCTAGGGACAATTTACAGACTCTGAGCAGGAGAGGAACCAGTTGAGGTGGTCCTGGCATCTGGTAAGGATGCCTTCTGGACGCCTGCCTGGGGAGAAGGCATGTCCAACTGGGGGTAGACCCCGGGGAAGACGCAGGATGAACTGGAAAGACTATTGGCTGGCCTGGGAACGCCTTGGAGTTTGTCCCAGAAGAGTTGGAAAGGGATGTCTGGATCCCAACGACTGAACTCCAAACCAGATGAGATAACAGACAAAAATAAATAGAAACAGAGGATCAGTGTAACGTAAAAATCTGACCTAATTGATTGGAAATAGTAACAGTAATAATAATAATAATAATAATACAACAGCTGCTCTGAGGTCCCAGCTGGAAAATGACACACGCTCATTAAAACAAAGACGAGCTCTTTAAAGATACACACAAACAATAACACATGCAAACAATGCCGACAGAGGTGGAGCAGCCAGAACCGTCAGGGGAGCCAACGCTGGCAGCTACCAGTGGTCCCTGAGGAGGAAGAGGGGGTTTAATATGCACACTCACACATGGATGTTCCTGTCTTTGAGAGGACTGTTCTGTACTCTTTATCCAAATTTAAACATCACTTTAAAGGAACAAGAACCAGAGACTCCTCTCTGAACGGTCATGTGAAAACGTGACTTTCAGGATATAAAACTGTGTTGATAAACAAGACATATAATGTCTGGCCAAGCTTTGTCTCAGAAGATACGAGTCACGTCTGGTTCAAGGTTTAATCTCTGCGATCATGATCCATTCACAGTGAGCGTTTAATGAAAAGCTTGTTTATTTTAAATACGATTTGAAAAACCATCATTGTACTGTCCGGATGCCTGGGTCAGACTTTTCTATTTGAATGTTTGTTTTAATTGAAGGCTGATAGGGACAATATTTTAAATAAATAAATAAATAAATAAGTAGGTAGAGATATATATTTTTGAATGCATCATACAAGTTATGACTTGTTCATGTGGCTCAAGCTTGCTGCCTTAGGAAGGAGTCAGTAAAGAAAATGAATGTAATCCTGGATTATTAAATGTCACACACAAGCTGAACTGTTTCTCATCTGCACATTTTGAGTTTGTCTTCCATTCATTTGACTCGTCTCCAAATCAAAATAAAGCTTAGATTGTAAATTTAAAAAGATTTATGTTCAGGTTTCTTAAATTTTAAATTCAAGTTAAATTCAGTGTAAAAGGATTTCTCTCTTAGTTTTGGGGCCTCAAACCTTCTTCCAACCAGATTCTCAAATCTGTAGTATTTTGAAAACATCTGACTCCATCGTTTCGGTGTTTTCAGGGTCTTTTCAGTGTTTTAAGCAGCACAAATCTTCAAAATTCTCCTTTATTTGGTCTAATTGTGCAGCTAATCCAGCCCTTTGTTGTCTGGATTACAGAAGTCATTAGCTGATAATTCTCTTTAATTCCATCTAAACCTAATCCAGGACCAAAACTCTAGTCTGGCGAGCCCCCCGGGGCGTCTTCACCGACTGACAGAAAAGATGAGCAGAAGATTGAAGCAGAGAGGAGACTCAGACGCCGTGGAGTGGATGTTCTAAAGGTCAAAGGTCGGGGTTTACAGCGTTAGGATCACTGCACGACGTCAGCTGTGAAGAACACGTCTTTAAAGGAGCAGTCCAACTGATAACCCCACCATCATGAAAGGCAGCTGATAACACGTCGCCTGTTAGCAAAATATCTCGTGAACCATTTAACTTTTTTTAATGAAACTCTCAGATGTTAATCATTGGGTGTAAATCTACAAGTGATTCATTTTCAGAATGAATTGGATTCAAGATGGCCACCACAGCTGATCAAACTTAGAAAACACTCAAATGGCTATAACGGAGGCAGTTTTACAGATCTTAAACTCAAATTTGGAACGGTGGTAGCTGAGAGTTTTCCTCAAACACGTCCTCTGAGCACTAACAAATCKCACAAGACATTTGTACAGAACTTTGGCATAAAAATGAGCGAGCTGCGATTTAATCAGAACGCCGTTAGGAGCCCTGGGTCAAAGCGGAGGTTTGTTGTGCTGCTCGTTACAGTTTTCATGCAGAAACAGGAGACCGTGCGCTGCACTGATTAGTCACACTCAGCTGAACAAAGAAAGACCCTCTGAAACATCACAGGGTCTGGCAGGCGATTGGTGGAACGCCCCGCCCCCTGTCTATCATGTGATTGGTGCACAGTTATCATGACTCAGCCCGTTTTCCTGCCCGAGGCAAACAGAAACATCTCCTCCTCCTGGTAAAAGTGGGTGCATGTGAGGCAGAGCGTTTGAACAGAAAACTTTATTGGAAATCTCTTCACACCTGCATAATAAAATATACAAAACAGGAATGTTCACTTTTTTCCATTTTTATGTTTTTATTACTCAAAAATATCTGTATAAACCAGACAAACTGCCCTGAGGCTTCAAACTGTTCGTTAGCTCGGCTCGAGGGCTTTGAAGAGAAAAGAGGGGAACAAGTTGTAACATGTTTCTGGGAGAGCCCCCAAAAAGTAACTAAGCCTGAAGTTTTTTATTTTATTATTATTATTGTTTTTAGCTCCACAAACGCAGCTCTGACTCAGTTTTATGTGAAAGGCCATTTTTGTGCAACGAACATTAAAACAGACAAGAGTGAATAAAAAGTTCTGCACTGAACTGATTGTAGTGACGTGTGTGTGTGTGTGTGTGTGTGTGTGTGTGTGTGTGTGTGTGTGTGTGTGTGTGTGTGTGTGTGTGTGTGTG